ATAGTGGAATAGTGTACCACAACTCCAGTGTCTGCCAGATCTTTCTGGAGGGATCGTGCAGTCAAACGTGGGTTTTGAATTGTTTTTCTCACAATCCTGTGAGCTGTTCTGTCTGATATTTTTCTTGGTCTTCCAGATCTTGCTTTAACTTCCACTGTTCCTGATGACTGCCATTTCTTAATTACATTCCGAACAGAGGATACTGACATCTGAAAACGCTTTGCTATCTTCTTATAGCCTTCTCCAGCTTTATGAGCGTCAACTATTTTCAGTTTCAGTTTTCTAGACAACTGCTTAGAAGAACCCATGGTGCTGATTGTTGGGGCAAGGTCAGATGAGTCTAGGCATTTAAAACCTTTGAGCTTGACATCACCTGGTCTTCCCAGACGATGATTGAGAACAATCCATGACACTGGCAGGTCTCAGCTTTGCAAAGGGGGCAGTGCATGCTATAAATTCTGCAGGGTGCCCAAACTTTTGCAGACACCATTTTTTTGTTTTCTGTTATTTTGAAAGTGTAAATAATGGAAATAAAATCTAACTTTTGTTGACATATTATAAGAATGTCTAATCTGTAATTTGATGCCTTTTGGAGATTTTTCCATCTTTCCTTGGCTTCTTTATGCACATTAATACAAATTTTTAGCTGGGGTGCCCAAACTTTCGATCCCCACTGTACACTGCTTGTACCACCCCATCCTCCAACCTCTGCGGATTCAAACACCACATTGCAGAACCAGTGCACGTAAGCAGGAGGAGGTCCACGGAGAGCGGGGCATGATCCGAAATACCGCTAGGTAGATAGCCAACTGCAGAGATCACAGGAAGCGTAGTTACAGAAGCAAAGGCCATATCAAGACGTGACATAGTATTAAAGGAGTCAGAGTGGCAGGAGTATTGATGAGCTTGACAGCGTGACAGCTCGAGAGGAGAGAAATGTCGATAACCGGCATTTCCCTGTTTACATGTGTTCAGCTGTGATTGGACACCGAGCCGACATCTTCAGCTCTTTCCGTGATCGGTGATTCCGATCGGCGTGCTGCGCACTCCCTGAGCCGCACATGCGCAGTGAGAATGGGAGGATGTCATATGATGTCCTCCCAGAACGAGAGAACCACCTTACGTCCATCATACTACTATATGGCGGGCGGGAGGTGGTTAAAGGGTGTCATTCTTTTCTATACCCACTGTATGTGTAGAGCAGTGCAGCTGCATGCTTGGGATGTTGAGAAGATGCATAATGAGCAAGTCTTCAGTCCTGCTTACTTCCCTAGTAAAGATTTGATTCCACAATAGAATATCTGATTCTTCAGTCCTTCTGCAGTTCTGGTCCCTACTTACTGCACTGACCCTTATGTGAACCCTAGTGCCTTTTCCTGGCCTCCCCATTGTCCAACACTCAAGAGACTACCCTTAAGAGAATTAGTTTCACAGTTTGTGAAGTGCTAAGGGTCCTATCATCCCCAATCCTTGTCTAGATACAACTGACTAGTACCGTTACTCTTCAATCATTTGCAAGTGTATCTGCCCTGCTCAACTCCTCCTTAACTCCCTGTAGACCTTTTACCTTTTTCAGGTGGTAGCTGTTTTTTTACTGTTCACAGCTTCAGGGTATTAGGGATTATCATGGAATTCCCTTTTAGCATGCCCCCCACCCCGTGCAGTCTCTTAGTCCTTTTCAATATCTCTCCCTCGGTTAGAGAATTTGGAAATGAAGTAACCAAGCTCCTATCCTAGGACACCCTTAATTGATTCATCCTACTTCCTATATTGAACAAGGATCCAAGCTGGTAACTTTAGACCAAGAATTCCTGAAAGCTTTTTGCCATACTCTAGCCAGGATGGGCATGGGCCCTCCTATATTGGGAGGACACCCTTAATGGATGTATCTTATTTCTTATTCCTTGAAACTGGATCTCTGATACAGACAGTTCCCAAGTTTTTGGGGATCCCTCTTTTGGTTAGTCTTTTAATCTGTCCTCCACTGGACTTCATCTGGAGACTGCAAGATCTTCACCTCTAGAAAGGTTAGACCTACCAACTCTACTGAAAATGTTGTTTGTGTCATTTGTGACCACACTATCCCAGAATAGTGGTATTGCCTTTTAGAACCGCTTTTCTGATGCTTCCCACTTGCCACAAAGAGGGTTTTGACCAGAGGTGCACCTCTCTTCTTCCCTACAAGGAAATATCTGTCACTAGAAGATTCTATGCTCTCCTAGAAGATCAATAGACAAGACACATTGGGGCCAACAAAAAACTTTGGTATAGACGCCACAGACATACAGTGATTACTGCAGGCAACAAATGAGGCTTAAGTGCTAGTATATTCCATGAATATGTTAAAATAAATGTATTAGTATGAAAAAAAGTAAAAATAGTTGATACAAGAAAGAAAAAAAAAAAAGTACGAAACACAACGCCTTGAATGGCCATGTTTCATAAAGACAGCTAAAAAGTCTCAAAAATAGGTACAGATGTACACATATATACCACAGCAAGCTGCATCATCACAGAACCGATAACCACAGATCTATCATTTTTTTTATCTCTAGTTATCTGTGGTAAGGGAAGCTCCCCAGAATGGTATTACAACCTTAAAATGACCACTAGTGGATAATAGCATAACATAAGAATAGGATGTGAGTAAACAAAAGATAATATAGACCTAACCAGGCCTCTCTTTCTATAGGGACTTGAAGGAGCCATGATAAAAAATGGCACCGTTAAATCCCTCCCCATCTGGGTACTCTTCCACCCTGCCTACTTGGCTATGATGGCCATAAGGGGCCTTGGGTGATAAAGAGGCAATGTTTAGGGTATTGTGGGCTTTACTTATCCATATGTTTGTGCTATTTCACCAATTAGGGCCTACTCCAGTATCACCCTCTTCAATTGCCCATAGATAACCTGTCCACTTGGTAGGGTTAATCATGTATGCATTTAGGCATAATTTTTCAAGACACACTGGGGATTACTGTCAAATCTGGTGCAACTCTACATAAAAACCAATCAGTTTCCAGGTTCTATTGCCAAAGCTTAATTGAACAAGCCAAAGGTAGAAGCGGATTGGCTACCATGCACAGCTGCACTAGATTCTGACTGTACCAGTTTTAGTAAATCTCCCCCACTGTTACTCTTATCCAGGTTTTCCCTAAAAAGGGAATAGTGTAAATTTGGAGGCCTTCTTGGTATTTGATTACTGGAAGATAGATCCTCTTCTGTGACCGAGCTTCTGTCTTCTGAGGAAGTCTCAGAGATTCCTCCCTCTTTCCTATTCTTTAACAGGTAAATATTCCTAGTGTTAGAATTAGGATTCTTACTGTTTGCTCCTCAGTGGAGGATTTTGTTCTTACAGGGGTATGTTAGGTCATTCTTCAAATCATATATTTTATAAATGGTTAGGCGTGTGTGCAGTGTGATTGCCACAGCCCTGAAACATTTATGGCTGTTAGTTGAAACATTTATGGCTGTTTTCCTTCCCATCTGTCCAGATGTTCTTGTGTGCTAGTTTGTGATATAATATATCCTCATTCCTGCAATTCTTTAAATTTTTGTTCTTGGCTTTAAATGCACTTTAAGAAGGATTCAGGGTTAACACCCCTACATTTCCCCAGTTTAAGGGTTCTTTCCCTTCCATTTACTTCTTATGCTGTGAGGGCTGTCACATCCACAAATATATTTTTGCCTGTACATGTTCTGTCCAAGTTCCTTTTCTTGAATTCAAGGGTTAGATATGCTAGGCTCTAGCCTTTCCTGCAGTTGTCCAAATGTTTTTGTTTTACTATTGCAAATGGCATGAACTTGATCCATTATATATTTCTCCACACTAGTTTTTGGTCTAGTTTTCTCCCTGTCAAGTGGTGTGCTGTTCCACCTGTTTTTTGATGGGTGGGTGGTTGGTTGTTCCTCTGTTTGTTGATTGAGAGTCATTGCTCCTTTGGATAGCACTTTTTTCCCTTAGAGGTGATTTTCTATCCTGATCTGGATCACCTGGTTGATCTTCAGTGTCCTCCTCTTGTGGCAATTTCCATATCGGATTGTTAAAAATCCCAAAAGTGCAAGATGCAACAAAAGTCACTATCTGCAATAAAACATAAGCAACAATCCAATAAGATTTTACTTTCTTGAATCCTGTGATCTTGTGTGCAAGATACATAAACTTCCTCTGTGATATTCCCTTTTTGGGTGGGCCCTCACCTTTTGAGAATGACCCCCACATCCAAGGTCATAGAAGCGCTGTTTAATCAAATCCAGGCCTCTCAGATCACTCTCAGAAATCTCTCCTCTCCAGATTGGTCCCTTGTTAATCTCAACAATCAACAAGGAGCCCAGTTGTGTGGGATAAATATATTTCTCAAAATGAAAATAAAACTGGCTTAGTGCTCACTGTGTCATATTTTATTATCCCTATAAATAGCTCAACCAGCTTGCTCTCAGATTTCTCTTCAGTAACACTGTCCTTATTTGTGGAGTTGATGGAGTCCATTGATGACTTCTGCAGTGTAGAATCTGCAGTTGAATATAAGATAGAGGAACTTCATACCTCTGAGAGAATGCTGCTTTGAATGTGCCAACTGTTTAAGAATTTCTAACAGTCCTGTGTTCCTCAATGGACAATACATTAGATTCTTGTCCAAATCATATAATGTTTTTCCATGTTTTTGCATTGAGGAACAAAGGCCCTGTCTCTCTGTGTTATTAGCGCCACTATTGCTTGCTTACAAAACTGAACCATGGCGTTTAGAGACAGCATAATGTTGTGGTTAGCTTAATGTCTTTTTGTACCGGAGTCCCAATGTCTTGTAGACAGCAGTAGAACAGACTGTTCAAGGATTCCTAATATTCCTGTATCCCTCAGTGGACTTCGGGAAAAAGAATGTACAACTAGCCTAAATACTTTTATTGTGTAAATATGAGACATTAATGTATAACAATGGTTGTTTTATACAATTCTTGAGATACAATGTTTGTTTTATATTTATATTTTATCATCGTAGGCTCATCAACTTGCCAACATGCAAGCACAGGCCAGCAATGGTACCCAGGTCTTGAATACCAGCACTACAAATGAAGAAGAGGAGGATGATGAAGACGATTATGATTATGACTATGAATCACTCTCAGATGGTATGCAGTTTTATTTACAACAAGGGCTTATTTTGTGCAAACTAACTTAAAGCAATTCTAAAGGTTAATTTTATTTTTTTTAAATATATCTATACTTACCTGCTGTGTGCAGTGGTATTGCACAGAGCAGTCTGGATCCTCCTCTTCTCGGGTCCCCTCTGGCTCTTCCTGTCTGTCGGGTGCCCCCACAGCAAGCAGCTTGCTATGGGGGCACCCACTGCTCTGTGTCCAATCTCACACAGACACACACACACACGGAGTTGTGTCTTGGCCCCACCCCCTCACTCCTCATTGGCTGACTGGCTGTGATTGACAGCAGTGGAGGTCAAGGTCTCCCGTTTGCTGTCTCAGCCAATGAGGAGGCAGAAATCCAGGACAGCCGAGGATGTCATTCACATGGCTGGATCGCGGTGAGGCTCAGGTAAGTATTGAGGGGGCTGGGGGAGCTGCTGCACACAGAAGGTTTTTTTTACCTTCATGCATAAAATGCATGAAGGTAAAAAACCTTCAGCCTTTACAACCACTTTAATGGTATCCTCAAACAAAATTTATTTGCTACTTTTGTACCAGTGGAACTAACTTGTTTAGTTAATCCACCCTTTATATTAAGTGGCAAAGTCGCGCTTGATTTCAGAATGTGTTATTGGCACTGAAAAGGCAATAATACAAACACACTATGTTTTTCAAAACTAATAAACTAATGACAGTGCATGAACCACAACTTGTACTGTATTTTCATACAGATCCAATCTTCAATATCTATACCTATGTAACAGATAACAGCTTCCAGACATAATTTTTTCCTTTATCCTGTCAATTACTGAATCATAATGACTTGTATTGCCTGTTTAATCAACATTTCCTTCTCTGATTGCTTGTTTGACTCTTTTCCTGTAGCTGATGTCCTTAATGCTTCCCCTGCGCCTAACAGCCAGGAAGGTAAAAGCCATTTCAATGGATGTTCTAACTGCATGGATTTATACCACTCATCTCCTGTTAATTAAGTGCTCTGTTCACAGAAATATACATGCTGCCTTGTGTGTATGTGCTTACATTTCTGGTGTACATTAATATTGTTTTGATACTTAAGCTATAGCATATCCTTTCATTTTTTACTGCATTTCAAGGCTGAGGAAACAGTGAATAAATGTAACACCAACAATTGGATGGTGCACAATTGCTTGGTCATGTGATACATGATTAAAGCCCTTTATTGCTTAACTGGTTGTTTAGTAGTGGAAATGTTAGATGAATACATATTATGAGGAGAATTTTGTTGGAAATTTAGTGTTTTTCCTCATGTTCTGATAGCAGTGCATATTTGCAGCTATTTGCACATAATCCAAAATCACTCATATGTAGCTCTAAAGGGAAAAATAAACCATGCACATAATTTTGCAGAAAGTCTTCAAAGCATTACACCCGCAATCGGTGGATCAATGTTGCAATGTCAGGTTTCTACAGACATGTCCTCCAGTATGCTCATAGCCCATTGAGAAATGCAAACTATCTACCATGGTGGCAGACCAGTCTTCTTGTGTTTTTCATTCACAGATCACTGTGAATGAAAGGGGCGGATGTGCCGATTTTAAATGTGAAAGCGGCTATATGGGAAAAGAACCCCTGCAAGATGGGGGGGCTCAGAGTGTGTGTGTGTGTGGGGGGGTGCTGGAACATATTACACCCTATATACTAATGTAACATGAAACATGTTCCAAAGATGAAACTACCAGGTTTTCTGCCACTGTGCAGGGGCCCCCAAAGAGTGAGGACTGTGGCTCCCCAGCACAGTTGCTGGCTGCAGTTTTCTGAGCTGAGAATATCTCTCTTACACAGCCCAGAGCCAGCACTGACAGTTTTCCCACACACAGACGGGAGAGGAGAGAGAGAGATGAATCTACTCCTACTTTTCTCTCTTCCTGTGTCTGCCTGCCCACATTACAATCCGTGGCAGTGCTGTGCCTCAGAAAAGGGGATATGTGGGCTGGAAGTTTGAAGCCCAACAGCCACATGATGGATGGTGGAGATAAAAGGTGCCAACAGTCCATGCCTGAGCCTCCATCCTGGGTTGAGTGAGCTCACCATCCATCCACTGGGACTGAAGTCTCCCCACTCCCTCCCTTTTCTCTCCTGCCTCTGAGTGAATACACTAATGTAAGGGGGACTCAGATGTAAGGGTGTCCTGCAGACCCTAATGTAAGGGTGGCTGTAGTGAACAGAGACCCCCTTACATCAGAATTCCCTTTTTACACCAGAGTCCACAGCATTCCCCCTTACATCATAGCCCCCCCCCCTTAAATCAGGGTTCCCAGAGCACTCCTTACATCAGAGTTCCCCTTTGCTTTAGTCCGCAAAGCTCCCCCTTACAGTGTAAGTAAGTAAATTGCCAAGCACCGTGAAGGTGTTTGGCTTGCAGAAAAGGTGGCAACCCTACCAAAGACTGTAGGAAGGGACCTGTTACAGAACATGTGAAAAGGGTCCTGCTGCATGAAGGGGGCCCTTCATTGTTTCTTGCATCGGGGCCCTGAAGGTTCTAGTTATGCCTCTGAACTTAGCTGTTAATAATATATGTGATGCTAACGCAAAGTTTGGACATTTTTTTTACTGGGTTGGTGAACATTATTGCAAGTAAATTTAAATTACTAATATCTGATATTTTGGCCCTATTTAATTTGTGTTGTTGTTTTTGTATCTGCTTGCTGTTTTTGTATGCTGTAAAACCAGGTTGCATTTGTCTGCTGGATCTATGACGTTAGCTACTGACATTGCAGTCGCTCTTCCCAATGCATAGACCTAATCCTTTGGCTTGCTTGTGTCCCTAGCTGGTAGTGGCTTGTTGACAGCCTTAGTGATAAGCATATTGGAGAAGTGTACTAAACGCAATCATGGATATTAAAGGAAACTAGGTGTACATTTTAAGTTGGTGAACAAAAGCAGACAAGGGCGCACTTTCATCATGCATTACCGTGGTTGACCACGTATTTATTGTGTAGACAAATACAGGTGAAACTCAAAAAATTAGAAAATCGTGCAAAAGTTTATTTCAGTAATGCAACTTAAAAGGTGAAACTAATATATGAGATAGACTCATTACATGCAAAGCAAGATAGTTCAAGCCGTGATTTGTCATAATTGTGATGATTATGGCTTACAGCTCATAAAAAACCCCAAATCCACAATCTCAGAAAATTAGAATATTGTGAAAAGGTGCAATATTCTAGGCTCAAAGTGTCCCACTCTAATCAGCTAATTAAGCCATAACACCTGCAAAGGGTTCCTGAGCCTTTAAATGGTCTCTCAGTCTTGTTCAGTAGGAATCACAATCATGGGAAAGACTGCTGACCTGACAGTTGTGCAGAAAACCATCATTGACACCCTCCATAAGAGGGAAAGCCTCAAAAGTTAATTTCAAAAGACGTTGGATGTTCCCAAAGTGCTGTATCAAAGCACATTAATAGACTGTTATGTGGAAGGGAAAAGTGTGGAAGAAAAAGGTGAACAAGCAGCAGGGATGACTGCAGCCTGGAGAGGATTGTCAGGAAAAGACCATTCAAAAGTGTTGGGGACTTTCACAAGGAGTGGACTAAGGCTGGAGTCAGTGCATCAAAAGCCACCACACACAGACAGATCCTGGACATGGGCTTCAAATGTCGTATTCCTCTTGTCAAGCCGCTCCTGAACAACAAACAACTTCAGGAGCGTCTTACCTGTGCTAAAGAAAAACAGACCTGGTCTGTTGCTCAGTGGTCCAAAGTCCTCTTTTCTGATGAGAGCAACTTTTGCATTTCATTTGGAAACCAAGGACCCAGAGTATGGAGGAAGAATGGAGAGGCACACACTGCAAGATGCTTGAAGTCCAGTGTGAGGTTTTCACAGACTGTGTTGATTTGGGGAGCCATGTCATCTGCTGGTGTTGGTCCACTGTGCTTCATTAAGTCCAGGGTCAACGCAGCCATCTACCAGGAGATTTTGGAGCACTTCATGCTTCCTTCCACCGACGAGCTTTATGGGGATGCTGACTTCATTTTTCCAGCAGGACTTGGCACCTGCCCACACTGACAAAAGCACCAAAACCTGGTTCAATGACCGTGGGATTACTGTGCTTGATTGGCCAGCAAACTCGCCTGACCTGAACCCCATTGAGAATCTATAGGGCATTGCCAAGAGAAAGATGAGAGACATGAGACCGAACAATGCAGAATAGCTGAATGCCGCTATTGAAGCATCCTGGTCTTCCATAACACTTCAGCAGTGCCACAGGCTGATAACTTCCATGCCACGCCGCATTGAGGCAGTAATTGCTGCAAAAAGGGCCCAAACCAAGTACTGACTACATATGCATGCTTATACTTTTTAGAGGTCCGATATTGTTCTATGTACAATCCTTGTTTTATTGATTGCATGTAATATTCTAATTTTCTGAGATTGTGGGATTTGGGGTTTTCATGAGCTGTAAGCTATAATCATCACAATTATGACAAATCACGGCTTGAACTATCTTGCTTTGCATGTAATGAGTCTATCTCATATATTAGTTCACCTTTTAAGTTGCATTACTGAAATAAATGAACTTTTGCACGATATTCTAATTTTTCGAGTTTCACCTGTAGATATGTACTCACAAAAACCAAAGGAAATTAAAAGCAATTCGGTAGCCCGCAAAGACAGTCAATAATGCTGTGCCCTTGATAGGGATAAACGGACGCATTTCGGGAGACTTTTTTTTAGCTCTGAGGAAGGGGGTACGTCTCCCGAAATGCATCAACTTCTTCCTATCAAGGGCACAGCATTATTGTCTTTGCGGACTACCAAATTGCTTTTAATTTCCTTTGGTTTGTGAGTATACATCTATTTGTCTACACAATAAATACCTGGTCAACCACGGTAATGCACAATGAGAGTGCGCCCTTGTCTGCTTTTGTTCACCAGTGTCCAGATTCCCCGATCTTTGAAGGGCAGCACCTCTTCGTTTGGCATTCAGAATTCTCTTTGGTCTGCAT